GATGGAGTCTAACCCTCATGAAGATGCTATGAACAATGCTGAAATGACAGCAAAGAATTTAGAATGTTACATAAACTTAGTCTATAAACGGCAGCAGTGTTTGAGAGGATTGACTCCAATTTTGAAAGAAGTTATCTTGTGGATATAGTGTTATTCAAGCAGTATTATATGCTTCAGATAAATCCTTGATGGAAGAAAGTCAATCAATGTGGTAAACTTCATTGTTGTATGATTCAAGAGTTACACTAGACACCTCAACCTTCAGCAGTGACCATCCTGATCAGTCAGCATTTGTCAACATAGAGGCCAGACCCTCCATGAGCAAAAAATTACTACTCACTGAAGGCTCAGATGATGGTTAGCATTTTTCAGCAATAGAGTATTTTTAATTTAAGGTATGTACTTTTTTAAAGGCATAATGCAATAGCACACTTCATAGACTTCAGTATGGTGTAAACAAAATTTTTATGTGCTCTGGGAAGCCAAGAAATTTGTATGACTCACTTTAATGTAATATTCACTTTATTGCCATGGTCTATAGTGTAATCTTCAATATCTCTGAGATATGCCTATATATAGAAAATTCAATACAGGCTTGAATGTATTAAGCACCACAAGAGAAGTATAGATAGTGCATTACTAGACTCCAAAGAGAAAGAACGCTGAGTATTGGTGGCAAGAGATACATTCTTAGCATTGTTAATATTTGAGCTGGGTTTCACTGGCCATGGATATGGACCATTGGACCTCTGGCCATTGGACCTCTCAGGAAGAGCAAATAAAGGCAGGGGATATAAGAGACGAATGCATTGCTAGGATTCATTTATCCAGCAGGTATTCATTAACTGCCTAACATTTGCAAGGACCACTTCTACAAACTTTGGATATATCCATAAACAAAAGATCTTAGCCTCATGTAGTGGGGAGTCACATAATACACGTACTAAGCCAGTAAATAAAATTGCTTGTCAGCAGGTGATAAATACTCTGGGTAAATATACAACAGGATAAGTGGGTTTGGGAAGACTGTGGAGGTTAGAGTGTGCATTTGTTTAACAGAGCCATCACTATGAAATATCATAGACCAGGAAACCTGAACAACAGAAATTATTTTTCTCACAGCAGTTGAACCTAGAAATACAAAGCCAAGGTATGAGCAGGTTGGATTTTTTCTGAGGCCTGTCTCCTTGGCTTGCAAATGGCCACTTTGTTGCTGTATCTTCATGCCATCTTTACTGTATGCCTGTGTGCTCCTGGTATCTTCCTGTGTGTCTAAACTTTCTCTTCTTATAAGGTAATTGGTCAGATAGGATTAGGGCTCACCCTAAAGGCCTCATTTTAACGGAATCACCCCTTTACAGATATTATCTCGAAATACTATCACATTCTGAGGTAGTGGGAGTTAGGATTTCAAAAAACAAATTTGATACGGAGAGGCACAATTCAGTCCATAACAGTGTGGTTACAATTTAAATAGAGTGGTCAAGATAGACTATCAGAGAATGGCATTTGGTCAAAATCTTAAAGCAGGCAGGAGAACCATAGAAATACCTGGGAACACAAATTTCTGGCAGAGAGACCAGCCAGTGCAGAAGTCACAAGGCAGGCTGTGTTCAGTGTTTTCAAGAAGCAGAAAGCAGGTCAGTTTGCTGGAACAGACAAAAACCAGGGACTAACTGGAGAAGAAGGAAGAAAGGCAAAGGAAAACTGGATTTTATGAGTCTTTTTAGCATATGTTGTGAGTGGAAAGGGGAACCGCTGCAGAATTCTAAACAGAGTAGTTACAAGTAAGTTGTAGAGCAGAGGTCAGCAAGCTACAGTCTGTGGGCTAAATCCAGTCTACTGGTTTTCCTGCATGGTCCATTAACTAAGAATTGCCTCTACATTGTTAAATGATGGAAACAAACAAACAAAAAATTGTGACACTTGGAAATTATATAGAAATGAAATGTAATGTCTAAAGTTTGCTTGAAACATCACCATGCTCATTTATTTATATATTGCCTATGGCTGCTTTTGCATTATAATGGTAGAATTGAGCAGTTGTAGCAGAAACCGTTTGTCCCACAAAATCTGCAATACTTACCATCTGACTCTTCACAGAGTAAGTTATCTGGCCCATACTATTGAGGGTCAAGAATAGAAACAGTGGGACCAGGCACAGTGGCTCATGCCTATAATCCCAGCACTTTGGGAGGCTGAGGCAGGTGGATCACCTGAGGTCAGGAGTTCAAGACCAGCTTGGTCAAAATGGCGAAACCCCATCTCTACTATAAATACAAAATAATTAGCTTGTCATAGTCGCTGCTGCCTGTAGTCCCAAATTCTTGGGAGGCTGAGACACTAGAATCCTTGAACCTGGAGGCAGAGGTTATAGTGAGCCTACATTGTGCCACTGCACTCCAGCCTGGGTGACAGAGTGAGACTCCACTTCAAAAAAAAAAAAAAAAAAATAGAAACAGTGGGAAGAGTGGTGGCTGTGACCAGTTTCATAGCAGCAGAGACTGCAGCAGTAGTTGGAGAGCATTGCTAATATGGCAGAGTGAGACAAATGATTGGAAATATGAATTGGGAAGGGGTCGTGGCGTTGGAATGCATTGCAGTGGAACAGGGTGCCCTACAGACCTTTGGGTGGAGGGGGTCCACCATTGCAGCAATGCTTTAGGAAACCCTGTTGGTAGCAGATGACCAGCTTGGTCAACATGGTGAAACCCCATCTCTACTAAAAATACAAAATAATTAGCTAGGCATAGTCGCTCAGCCTGTAGTCCCAAATTCTTGGAACCGCAGGATCTGGTGGTGATGGTAAGTTCAAGAGGTACTGATGGCCTGGAAATGAAGAGAGGAAGGCAATAAAAAGGTAGCTTCAAGAGCATGCTGAACACATTGAGCAACTTTTCCATTTTCTGTGCCAGTGAGGAACCTTCTGTGATAATATAGCAGTTTTCAAACAACTTTAAAAATATCTTGAAGTGCTAGAATACTACTATTCTAATTATATACCCTTTGAATTAAAATAGAATTCTTAAAGTGAATCAGGCCAGATGCCTTTTACAAGTTAAGCCTTTGGATGTGTAATAATGAAAATTTGAACTCAAAAGAAGACCATCAGTAATCCATAAATGACCTGAGGGACTCAGAATCTGGATTTTTAACTTATGTAATTCACATTTATTTGTAAAAGGCAAAATGTCTAACTTGGCATTTCTGTTTTTTTAATGGACTACTTTCATAATCTATATCTCCAATCTTAGTTTTAAAGTACTTCTGTAGAAATCCATTATCTTTGCTAAAATATTTGCACCATGTATTTTTTTTTGGGGGGGGGAACATATACTTTAGAAGATTGATGGATGAAAAAGACATTTAATTAAATCAGCTATAGCTCTTAGAGATATTTTTGCTCTTTCCTTTAAGAAATCTTCATTTTATAAAATGTGATTGCAGTATTATATAATCTTATCTGATGTATTTAAAGACATACTCAGTATTTCATGGATTATGTCCAGTTACAAAAATTTGCTTCATAACATGTATTTTCTAACTTTACTGAACTTTATTGAGTCCCATCTTTATAAATACAAGCTATGGTAAGTAAGTCAAAACACAAAATGCTCCAATATACAGATAATAGAGTAAACTAAAATCTCATAAATAAGTTGCATAGCATAAAATAGACCTTGAACACAAAGCTGATTTATTCATGTATGACAGAGTACAAAGTTCCTTGAATGAGTATGTTTCTTGTGACAGAATCTTTAAGGCATAACCATTCTGAATTTGGACTAGTTTAAAAAGTGTGAAATATCTTTGCTGCAATGAGAGGAAAGTAGGATCTCTTGTTCATCTAAAAATAATCATTATTTAACAAGAATGAAGAGACGATTGGGTATCTTCACTAGAATTTCCAAGGGAAGAGTCATCTTTTGACAAGACTTGAAAACAACTTCTCCAGATTATGATTTGACTTTGGAAATGTCACTCTTAAGTTTATATTGAGGTAATCATGTTAGGAAGAGATAGCATTCATTTCATATTTTCTAACTGATCTTCATTAAAGGTGAGGCGGTAGTCCTTTGGGGCTTTAAAAGTTCTCTAGCTGTGGTAAGTAAAATGAAAAAGTTTCAAAATGTCAATAATGAAAACAGCTGGTGAAGGCAGTCATAGTCTAGAAAGGGACACAATGATGCTCCATTTCAGTCCCATCATTTTTTCAGAGAAACCGGAGACCTAAGGAGACCAAGTTTATTGAGTTCCATGAGGCTCCATATGGTTCTCTCAGTATATATTTGTTGTCAGACCAGATTTACTGAACAGCTTAGTGGCCGTGCTCAAGCTAGGACCTGTTCTTGGACTAAGATTCCATTCTCTTTCTGCTAGAGTCTAGATCACAAGTCCTCCAGGTGTATGATACATACATTGGTTTAAGTAAGCTGATTTTACATGATGCTGAAACTGGGCATTGAAAGGTAGTTTTCAACTACTTCATATTACACGATATGGAAATAGTAATATGGAAGTAGTTCCTTTCATGTTTACTTTCAGTCTTTTGTTAGTTTCAATGGACATCCTGAAGTTATTAAAAATATATCTGTATCAACACCCTAAAACCTATGATTCTCCATTTTTCACAAGAGAAAACCTATGAGACTGTCTTCAGCAAGGCAAGGTGGTAAATTGAAATTTTGAGAAAATATCCAGATTATTTTTTGATGGTGCTCCTTTTAATAAAACAATTTTGGTGAGTACATAGTTAAGTGTATATATTTATAAGATATGTGAGATACTTTGATACAGCCATGCAATGTGAAAGAAGCACATGGATAATGGGGTGTCCATCCACTCAAGCATTTATCCTTTGAGTTACAAATGATACAGTTGCATTCTTTAAGTTATTTTAAAACATATAATTAAGTTATTATTGACTATAATAACTCCATTGTGGCATCAAAGAGTAGATCTTATTCATTCTTTCTCATTTTTTTTTGTACCCATTAATCATCCTCACCTCCCCTACAAATCCTCTCTTCCAGGGCCTCGTAACCAGCCTTCTACTCTCTATATTCTTGCGTTCAGTTGATTTGATTTGTAGATCCCACAAATAAATGAGAACATGCAATACTTGTGTTTCTCGGCCTGGCTTATTTCACTTAACATAACGACCTCTGTTTCATTCATCTTCTTACAAACAGCTGGATCTCATTCTTTTCGATGGCTAGATAGTGCTCCACTGTGTATATGTACCACATTTTCTTTATCCATTCATCTGTTGATGGACACTTAGGTTGCTTCCAAGTCTTAGCTATTGTAAACAGTGTTTCAATAAGCATAGGAGTGCAGACAAAAACCCAGATTTTGTTTACACCTTGTTTTTTTGTTTGTTTGTTTGTTTTTTAATGGGCATCTTCTATTTGTAAAAATAGTGATTTTATAACAATTAGATACTTTATTTAAAATAAATTTATTTTGCTAAAACTAATTTATTTTTAAAATGTCAATCCAAAGGTTACTCAGGTATGGCAAAACTCAGAAAGGAATGCTAGGTAGGATACAGGTACTTTACAATCATGTATGGGATCCACAGATGACTGAGGTATGGAAACACTCCTCTAGATACTGCTATGGCGATGAAAGTGGTATGATAGGATTAAAATTCCCAAAATAAGAACAAGGGGACAAGTTCTGCTTCTTGATTTATTGGGTAAGGACACTCGATCCAAGCTTTATTTCTCAAAGGTACAATGAGAGAGATTACAGTTGGGAACAGCTACATATACTGCATCTCAGACTTTCTGTGATAACTTGCAAAGGTGAAAACACTGCTGTCTTCATGATGTAGTATTCAAGACAATTAAGGAACATTACCCACTTATAGCTATTACGGGCTAAATTGCCCAAATAATCACTATACATTATAACCTCTTTAAAGATACTGTCACAAAGAAGTATACAGATCAGTTTTACCCTGCAAAAAGTTCATTTGGATTAGATGAAGAGAAAGCTCACACCAATGATCCTGTATATAAGATAAAAATGTACATGAGTGTGTGTATGCACACACACACACCACAATCTTGCCTGATCGGCGATCTTCCGTGTTTGATGTTCATCAGGGCTAACCTTCTGGTTATTATTCTAAAAAAAAAATTTAGACTAGGAACAAACTCAGTACTATAGCGAAGAGCTGTAAGTATCACTTTAACTCTGCTGACAAGTCATTAATATTCTCCTCTCTAAACCTGATTTATTTTTTACCATTTTTAATGCTAAAGTGTTTAGAAGATTGAGTGTTCTGATAAGACATTGTTTATCTTCATTTTTGTTGTCAAACACTCCCTGCCAGGCATGAGACTGTTTACTGGTTTCTTTGCATCTAAAATAAGTTAGGATTTTTAAGTCACATATAGAAATGTGTACAATAATGTGTCAGTTAACTGACAATTAAACTTCAGTTCTTCAGTAACACTGACTACAAGTCAGTCATATAGAAATTATGAAGTAACTAATTATTGGTGTTTAATAGTTTCTTGAAATAAGCTGTTTTTAAAAAATGGCTTAAAGTTGTCTGTTTACTTGAAATAACACAGGAGCATAGTTCATTACCCACCACTACTAGCTAGTTCAGGTGTGTATAGAATGTTAGTATAGTTGATTCAAAGTTAGAAATTCATCTTTACAGATAGAAAATCAGATAGCACCTCATTTCCACTGGTTTTTATATTTATTTTTAAAAAGGTAGAAATTAAATTTTTAGAAAGTAGGATTTGGAATAAGACCCAATATTATGTTAGTAGAGGATTTATTTTTTAAATATGCCATTCTAAAATAAAATGTTTATTCTTCTTGTTATAATTTATTTAAACTTTCTGCCATCATAATTAAGCACTGTATTTTTATTTTAAATGAAAATCAGTAATTTAACTATTAGAACTTAATCAAGATGAAGCTATTTAGTGTCAAAATAGAAGTCAGTATACCTTGATCAACTAAGATAACCAAGAAAATATAAAGAATATAATGGAAAATAGCACTTTTGACTCATTTTGAGTAGATACTGTTGATAACTGTGGTTATAGGCTGGTCATTTCTACTGTCTAGTTTCTTCTTCAGAGTTATTTTATTTGTGAAAAGCACTTTATAACTTGAGAGATGTTATATAAATGCGAGTGGCTTATAAGGATCCCTTCCTGCTGTTATTCACACTTTTCTGTAGTATCCTCCCACATCACACCAGGCTATGGCAATCATGATGCTATGTCACTTCTAAGGTTAGGGTTAAAAAAGTGTTGCAGCCTTTATTCTGGTCACTTTTTTTTTCTGTCTTTTTCTATTGTATCATTCACTCTGGGTAAGCCAGGAGCTATGTCACTGTCTCTCTCTGGAGAAACCCACATGGCAGGGAAGTGAGGCCTCCTGCCAACAGTCTTGTGCATGAGCCATCATGGCAGGAGATCTTATAGACCTGCAGATGACTGTGACTCTAGCCTATACCTTGACTGCAATCTCATGAGCAATGCTGGGCCAGAACCACCCAGATAAGCCACTCCCAAAGTTCTGACCTGTAAGAACTGTGAGATCAATGTTTGCTGTTTTAGTATACCAACTTAGAGGATAATATGTTACACAGTGGACACCTGGAACATGTGGTTATCCCAACAGTCACCTAACCCTTCCTGTATTATTTATAAGGGATCTTCTCTTACCTTCATGGTATCTGAACCAGACAGAAGAAGATTGAAAACAAACATACTTACCAGTAAATATGCTTGGCCAATGAAGAATATGTAAAAACACATACTTAATATATACTGAACTTTTGTTTCCAGTGATAAATAAATTACTATCAGAAGGTTATTTTCTCATTTTCAGCCCCAACAATTCTAGGAATAGGTGTTTTTTTTATCGCATCACAGAAAAGGAAAACAAAATCGACAGAAGTCAGGAAATTTTCCCATGGTCCTACAGCAGATGTGTTACAGACCCAGTATCTTAAATCTGATCTATCTTAGCATAAAATCCCTCCTTTGTAAGTTAAGTGAGCATCAATCAGGCTCTAAGAGAGAGTTTATGAAGTGTTCAGCTTTATTGCTGGGGCCTTCATACATTCAGGAGCTTGTTCACTTACTTCAGTGTTCAGGACTGGGTCCTAGTGGGATGCATTTGCTTGAACTCAGATCTTTAAATGAAAGGGCATTTCTGGGGAGGAATTCAGTTTTGTGTGTATCTAATTTTTTTCCTTGGAATCATTGGTCATTTAAAATGAATATTTATTATTGAAAGTCATTAGGATTTAGTTTTCCTCTAGCATGGGCATTGCAGCATAGGTTTCAGGCTCCTACCATAACATAAAACTCAAAGCATCATAACAACCCTGCTTCTGAGTAACATGTTCTCAGAATAGGGGTTCCATCAATCAGTCATATCGATCCATTAACAGTAAGAGGAAAATGATGAAGCATATAGCCAAGGGAAAAGCTGGATTCTAATGGCAGTTGAAATGTGATGAAGATTCTATGAAGCAGAGGTAATATAAGAAAGATGCCTGTGTATAAATTAACTGTAAACATTCCAATGGATGGAAGTTTTCTCCAAATTTACTAGACCTCCATTGTAATTTTAAAATAGAGTCAAACAGCTTTATGATGGGAATATTACTAGGCATCCATGCAGAAGAAGTCTTCCAAAAACAGACTACTGATTCTGAAATTTTGGCAGGGTATCAATCATGCACTTCTGAGTCTTCAAGATCCCTCCAAGAGTTTTTAAAATGTGTCTGGCTGCATTTGAAGAATGTTTGTTTGCCTTCATAGCCAAACGTTCTTGTTAGATTTTGAAAACTCAATAAGCACTTACTGTTCACAATTTAATATTTTAGTGACACATTTTTAGGTTTCTAAATCAGTTTTATGAGGCGTGCGATAAAAATAAAATCAAAGTCGGCCGAACACTTATGGTGCTCAGTCAATTCTGAATATGACCGGTAGAAACACAGCAGAAACAAAAGGACACTAAGTCATTTTTACTTCAATTTTATTAAAAGAAAGAGAATGATTAAACCAGTGGAAATCATAACAAGTTACTAATATTTTTTTAAAAATTTTTACTCATGTATTGTTTAGATTCTGTCTGTTATTTTACCAGATGGTGTTAAAGTACAAAATTGAAGTTCAATATGATCGATTGAATAAAAATTCTCTAAATTTAATAGCAGTGTTATGTTTCATCACTAGGAAATATGTTTGATGTGTTGCTTTCTCATCCCGTTTTAGATATGTGCCTTTTCCAACGTGGTAGCAAATCTTAGGGAAAGATAATTTTTCCATCATTAAAAAAAACTGGAATTTTATCAATTATGAGTATTTTATATTAAAAAACTAACAAGTTAGGGTCCTTTGTAGGGACATGGATGAACCTGGAAACCATCATTCTCAGCAAACTGACAGAAGAGCAGAAGATCAAACACCGCATGTTCTCACTCATAGGCGGGTGTTGAACAATGAGAACACATGGACACAGGGAGGGGAGCACTACACACGGGTCAGTTGGGGGGAAATAGGGGAGGGACGGTGGGGGGCGGGAAGCTGGGGAGAGATAGCAAGGGGAGAAATGCCAGATGTAGGTGATGGGGAGGAAGGCAGCAAATCACACTGCCACGTGTGTACCTATGCAACAATTTTGCATGTTCTTCACATGTACCCCAAAACCTAAAATGCAATAAAATAAATAAATGGGGAAAAAAAACAAAAAACAAACTAACAAGTATTCTTAAATAGATAAATATCCTTATGGAAGATTAGAAAATTTAAGCTTAAGAATTACTTAAAATAAGGTTGTCATGAAAAGCTTAATGTCTTCCAGGGTATAGGTATAATTTTTACAATTACTGACAGTTCACCCGTTTTACTTCTCCCAAATAGATTCTTTTTAAGTAATATCAAACAGAGAAGGGGAAATATATTTCACTCCAAATACTTTCAGCCTCAGTGTTTATGTTCATGAGAAGTTCCATGCCTAGGTAAGATTATGGTAATTGGTAATGGATTAAAAAGAAAATGATATAAAATTATTAGAGTGGGCATCTTTGTGCCTCAGTTTCTTCTGAAATGATAGAGGTCATCAATACTTTGGAT